TTTATGACAACGTAAGATTTGTTTTTGGTTGCAAAATATTTTTTTGTCGAAAAAGCTTGTTTGCCAAACATCATTCAGTTTTAGTATTTGTTTTTGATATACTATAAAGTGCATTATTTGAAGAAATATGTGTTTGATTATTTTAATATACATTTCAGACTATGGAACCGGAATTTCGAATGAAATACACAAAACTATGGGTAGCCTTGCTAAAAGCTGATCTGAATGAAATTAAGGTTTTTGTAAATTTCAGTGAGAGATCATTACTGTTTAAGAAATTTCAATAGTTTTCGATTATCCATTACAGAAATGTGCACAGGCAATGGGAGTTGGTGAGTTGTACGGTCTTTTTGCGTGCATGGTCACTAATAGATCTTGGAATGCTATCACTGAGGGGATTGAAAAATCGCCTGTTACATAAGATGAGGCGCGCACTCCTAACGTTTTTGTCTAAAAAATTTTAATCAATAGTACTCATAGTTTTATGTAATTGATTACAAATGCATTTAGCTGATTTGTTTATCAAAAATGTGATAAGGGAGACAAATCTATACGTGACTCCGAGTAATGTTTGTAACTTAACATCAAGGTCTGGAACTTAAAATTAGTTAAGTTTATGGATATTCAGTATATCAAGTAAATTTTGCACTGTAATGTATAATCTAATCAATATTCACTAAGTTTTTAGCGAAGAGAAGTTAAAGCGTATGCTGCTACTCTCATACCCGAAATTTCTCAAGTATTGGAACAAATGCCTCGGTCTATGCTATTAATTTTAAAAACAAATGATTTATTGAGAAGTATAGAATATCGTTTGGGTGCACAAGGACGAGCAGACACTTTTATTCAGGTTTCAGTCTTGCGTATTTTGCAAATAATAGGAGTGAAATTCGAAAGTTATATGGTGGTGTTGTTTTGAAGTTGTTTTTTGAAGCAAGTATGGAATGAACACTTGTTGTAAGTAAATGAAATTTTTTAACTCAATAAAGATTTAGTCCAGATGGTACAAATGTTAACATTTTTCTGGATGGCTCGTTGTTGTGTTCGATCAGTTCACGAATGCTCTGCAATGCACACGAAATCGCTGTTAATGAAAATTTGCATATATTTACGGATGTATATTGCATTATTAAAGATCACTGCTTTTGAGTATTATTTGATGTTCATGAACCCACATTATGCGAAGCCTATTGAGTAATAATTTTTATATTATAGTATTCATCTGATTTCTGAATATTCCCAATTTTACTTTATAACATGGCTATATAATTGCGGTATGCTAAATCGTTTAGGAACATGTTATGCTCAATTAAAAGGAATTCAGATGCTTCAGAGAACTGTGTTTCAGTCTTTACTATTATTAAATAATTGCATTTTTTTCAGATCATCTTATTCACATTTTATTTTTTACTTGCGTTTCACTATGGATTGTTTAAGAAATTTGTCTTTCATTTAAATTTTCTTCACTTTTGCAAAGTATTGGCAAATTCTCGTCTCATAAAACAAATCATTAAATTTGTCAATGATTTTTTTAATTAATTTGAAATGTGTCTTGCTTGTTGTTTGCTTAGACTTTTGGATTTTGAGATATTTTCCATTGATTTTCTTTTATTTCTCTATTATTACTTTGCCTTCCTTCTTAAAACGTATTTTTCAAACAGTAAGGAAAATGCTTGCAAACAAGTGTTTACGTCGTAGGAAGTTTGCTCATTATTTTGAAAGAATTGAAGGAACGAATTTTTAAAAATAAACAGTGATTTCCAGTATTTACATTTATTGATTCGGTTTTTGTGAAATTTTATTGATCGCTAAAATATATTGTTATAATGGAATACAAAAGCGCAGGTTTTTATGTAGTATTATCATTGTTTTGCTTGATAAATTAATGCGAACATTAAGATATATTTTCATTTCGGACTTACCGCAGTCTTGTATTTAATCTCTATGTTTGTGTGTAAGAGCATAGTTATGAGGAATATGGATAAGAGAGTATGCATTTTTTTTTCAGGTCTGACGATGCTTTCAGCGTCTGAACGTTACCGTCCAGTCGTGCCAGTGGTTAGTCGAGAAGTAGTATTGAACAGTTATTCTTGGGAGGCTTACATAGAAAAAATCTTGAAAAATCTGAATGAAAAGAATGATATTGCTGCTCACTGTCCTGCTTATTTCGTTCCAGTGCATTATTTCTACCAGGCGCCTTTTGCTGAGTATATGCAATATATCGATAGATCAGTGAAAGTATGTAATATAGAAGATTAAGTTTTTTCTAAAACATTTAAATGAAGTCATTTTCACCCTTAAGTTTAATGTGATTGCCACTTCTGTCTTTCTGTTGAACCGTTATTAAAAATACATCGGAGACTCTCTATTGTATTTTTATGGATGGTCCAACAAGTTTATTTAATTTTGAATTTCGTCATTTTTTTACATTACTGAAAGTATCTATAACGATATAATCACAATCAGCAATCACTTCTCTTCTTTAATTTTCGGTAGTACTAAATTAAGCTGAAAAATTGTGTTGAAATCAAGTTATCAGTTCAGTTGTATGTATATTATGCATTTTCCAAACTGGAATTTGAATAATGCTTCAACAAATCTATTCAATTTTCAGTTTCTTATTCTTTTGCATTGTTGAAAAGTGTCTAAGTAAGGAAGAATGATATAGAATACATCATGGTGTATTGTGAAAGAAAACTATTTCTATTTCATGTTGTTTAGCAAATTATGTTTAGGTTGAAGTGACACTATACGGTGACTACAATCACAATTCAGACTTCCTCAAGTTGTACTGGTTTGCTCGAGTCATGAGAGTTAGTGAAAAATTATAGCTCATTGTCAAAAATACAGTTTACAAATTATAAAAAATTTTCTGTGTCTATTTTTTTCTTAATTTTCTTTCAAAAGTTAATTTTTGGTTGCTGGATATCGCATTTTGCTCCGGTATGAAGGAATGTATGGAAAAGAATGTGAACAGAGTGATTTTTGGGTCAATATCGGTTCTAAAGACATTAAACCTGTTGGTAAATTATCACAAAATACTTTGTTTGAGTATTGTTTATTTTACTAGGTTTTTTTTCTCACTCATCTTCATTGAGATCTATAACACTTCATAAATATTTCATCCTCAGTTTATTACAATTTATTTCAGACTGAGCTATTTTTTCGTTCGAAAAAATCCTATAAAAAATTTAATTTCTACGATTTACAAATAGGCAGTGCATTGTGTGTTAGCTTCTTTTCATTTAGTCCAAGAATAATGAAAGCAATAAATGCAAAATAGCTTAATATTACTTTATTTTTTATGTATTTGAAATTTGAGATAGTTGCGCCATCCATCTGTAACAATTTATACAGAGAAAGAAGTGTCATATCCTTAAAATAAATTTATAGCATATACAACAGCTGCTTATCAAAGCATCAAAGTTATTTGTTTACTAACCGTTATTCGTTATTCGTTCTTTTCAGGTTATTGTGCAGAGAATCCCGAAAGCCTAGCTTTAGTCCCACCAGAAGCGATTCATGATCAGGTTGAAGATTGGTCAGAATTCATTCTTCATCAAATACATGCTTATAGAACACTTGCTTTGAATTGGCCTGAAGTACAAGTCCGAAAGCTCCATCTTTCCAAATTTAAGGTTAGTGGGGAATTTTTAGACTGTTGAAAAAAATTAATGATATATGTTTTTATAGTTTTTTAAATATCAAGAAATGTTAATATTTTCTCACTCATAAAAGTGAATTTTAATCACCACAAAAACGTGAAATGAATGATAAACTGTGATTTGACGTTTTTAATTCAGTTATCATAAATCTCATATTGTGTGTGAGGACAGTTTTTAAACACTGATTCTATTTGACCTGTTGTGTTTCGGAATTTGTCTGGGACGATTCAAGTAGCATCATTTTTATTACTCGGATTGTTTCAAACACTACTATCTCATACTTTATTGTATCGTGACAATTATTGAGAAAGGGGATCATATGGAACTATTAGATTCTTTGCTTTCTAATCGAGTGAGACCAGCTTATGTAAAAGACGTTATTGGCAGTCGAATATGTGTTATCGCTAATGGGATGTATCTCAAACATTCAGAGACCGCTGAAGGAAGTGATTTTCAAGTAAAGTTTCATATTATAGTTGAAAAAGGGGAATTATCATGAAAGAGAGATGTTGAATTTAGTCACTTCGAAATACCTTTCGAAAATAGTTTTTACACTTAGTTTCACTATTTTTTGTAGCTTACTGAAGGAGTCTGGATGGATCAAGACTCTCCCTTAATTTTTCCAGTTGGATGGGCACTGAAAGTTGGCTATAATTTGATGGCAGATGAAGAATATTTTAAGCATGCAAAAGAAGTGGCACACGCATGGAAATTAGTATAGATTATATCATATTTTTGCAATCAATTAATAGAAGCTGATAAGAATAAAGTATTATAAAGATCTGATGAAAATAGCGTGCTTTTAGTTTAAAGCTGAGTCTTGTTGTTGAAGGATTCAAATAACATTCCATATGCTGAGTGGGATGCGCATCTGTCATTATTCAAAATATATAGTATCGAAGAAGTAAAAAAGGAAATATTTTGGAAACCGGGAATGAAGTTAGAAGTGTTAGATCCACTGGATAGTTGGAACATTTAAGAGTAGCAACTGTACTTGATATTTTGGATGATGGCTTCCTCAAAGTTGGTGATTTTTCCTCTTGGAACTTTGTTGTTTTAATTTTTTTCTCAAATATACCTTCAGCGCACCTCCATTTTGATTGTTAGTTTCAACGTAGCTCTGATTCATTTTTGAATAAATACATATTTTTCAATGAAATTAAACTCGCGGTTTGTATGTAGATTAAGAACATAATCTTATTAATGTAGATTGGTTTTGACGGTGATGACATTGAAGATACTGTCCCGCTACATTACACTTCAGATTTGCTGTTTCCGGTTGGTTACGCTGAAAAATATGGAATACTATTGAAAGGGCCAAAGAATATAGGTATCTAGTTCTGCATTACTTCTAGGTACAAAATTTTATGAAGCTAACAAAAGCAGGAGAAAAAAAGGACATTTTTCAATACACAGTAGCAACAGTATTACTTTTAATCTAAAATTTATGTCTATCTCATTTTTTTTCACTTCGTTCTTTTGAAACAAAACTTTTCAGAAATATTTGACTGGAAGAATTATTTAGAACAATGTCAACAAATTGCTGCACCGGAGGAATTGTTCCTCTCATTTAATGAAGAAGCAGTCAGCAATTTTGCGGTCAATTTTACTCTTTTGTCGTTAGAATACATTCTTTGATTGTACACCTTTTTTTAACTGAAAAATACATGCATATGTTATTTTGTACGAACTTGAATCACAAGGTTTGGAATTTAGATGCATCGGCGTTATAAAAGTTGTTACTGCTAGTAATCAACTGGTGAGGTTAAATCTTTTGAGATTAGTTGCAAAATCTGTTTTTGTTTGAGTACTGGCATACTATATTTTTTATTAGATCGGATCGAAATTGGAAGCAACAGATATGTGTGAACCGCACTTAATATGTCCGGCTACAATAGCATCACATCATGGACGTCTTTTACGAGTAAAATATGATGGCTGGGATGAAAGCTATGACCAGTTATTTGATTACAGGTATATTTTTTTGATTTGTTTTCTAATTTTCACTTTGAGATTTGACAGGTTGCTCGTAGTTATACCTACCACTTTTTGAGAATTCGGGTTTTAGCTGAATACTGAAATATTCTTCTTTGCCTCTTTGCAGGATTTCCATAAGCCATATTAGTTTAAATTTGTTTTTGTAAACTTTGAGGTCGGCTAACATTTTTCCTATCGGATGGTGTGAAATGCATTGCTACAAGCTTGAAGCGCCTGAAAGTTCAAACATGACTCCTGAATACGGGAGTGATGATGATGGGGATCAGATAAGCAGTACATGATATTAACTGTTCCTTGTTTTACTGCGTTTTTATTTGTCCGTAAGATGTTTTTCGATAATTGAAAAATGATTTGAATTTGTTGAATTGTTGTTGCTTAAAATGTGATTGATATTAAAAGCGTTTGAATTTGGAAAGTTAAAAGGAGTATAGGATTACACTACAAATTTATTTTAACTTTTAACGTATGTTTCTTTCGTGCACCTGAAGTAAAAATATTCTTCGAAAAGTTGAATACATTTTCAGTCATTTTGAAAAGCTTAAAAGATATGAAATTAAAATTGTTTAAGGCTCACTGACCGCATTAACCAAATGTAATATCCCATATTTAAGTGAGCAATCAGTTAATGACGGATAACAGTACTACAGTCTGAATGCACTGTTTCTGACTAAAAACATCGAGATACTCTTTGTGGCAGTATGTAATCGTTTTGTTCGAAATTAAGTTAAAATTAATCAATAGTAGATAAAAATTTCCTATAACGCAATTTTGATATCACACTTTACGATTATTCATATTTCACATTTGTTCACTTAGGTTGTGGTATCTTAATTCTGTTTCATAAATTTTGTTGTGCCAAATACGCGTGTTTCTTCCTGCCTTGTATCTTTGCCATCGAGTTCTAAACTTGATGGAGTGTATCATTTTCTCAAAATGTATTCAAAAATTTAGCTAGGTAGCGATTCTACGTAGATGAATGAAGTTTAACATATACTTCGTGCCCCGATTTCATTTGCTTTAGACAGTCTCAAACTTCGCGTATTTTGATTTTCAGATCTATAATTTTGCTTTTCATGATCATACCCCTGCAACACTTTTATTTCCAATCAAGCAGTATGCGTCTGAAAACAAGCACAAATTATTTTAATACATTTCTTTTTCAGTTATCTTTTGCTCTATTCATGGTGAAAAAATCATCTCGTGACAATATGACAGACAGTAGGAATAACAATTAATATAAGTTCGAGCGGAAGCATAACTTTCACATCTTACCTACCAATGTCACAGATGTTTCTTCTGTTGTTTCCGTTATCTTCGATGTTTTCTAAATTGAAGTACTTGAATAACATCAAAATCTAGAAGGTTATGATGTTATGAGACAAACACTAAGATTCTCTAGCAATGAATGTAAACTTCATTGATAAGATCTAATTTCACTCGCGTCACTTTTTATATTTTTATGGTTGTTATATGCATTAGCCACAAAAATAGATAAAAAGATGTAAGCAAAGAATGAGTAGTTTGAAATTTCTTCGATTTTTTTCTGAAGTTATTCATAAGTGGTCTCACTGAACATAATCATAATTAATTCATACCTTTTGCGTGAAATTGCTGTCATCTGAGTTTCCTTCCAAGTCCACTGAATGAGCTGATGAATCGACGCCTTCTAGCATATTTACGACACGGTTCTTTCCTGTTGGTAACTAAAATATCTCTATAAAATTTGGTTTCTAACGATAGAAATACCTGTTTATACCTGTTTTATAGAAAATAAGTTGCTCCAGCAAACCTTTCAAAATTAAACGAGAAATTGGGTCCTTTATTTGAGAACATAATTTAAGAATATAAAGCAGGAATTCATTTTAAAATCAGAGAAAAGTAGTGAATGTGTTTTTTTACCATAAAAGTAATATCTACAGTTGTAACTTATGCATAATGCCTGAATCAGATAAAGTCAATACTTAAAAAAAAAAAATTTAGGCTAAGATCAATGAACACTTAACTTGTTGTAATCGCATGATTGCACGAAACCGCCTCACAATTTCAATAAAATCTGGTCTTTTTGACGCTCGTCGTTTCCAACAATCATGCATAAGCTAAAAATTTGCATCTCACTTTTATCTGAGGTCGTCAATTAAGTTTAAACATTAAAAAATATAGATTTAGCATGCACAGATACATAAACATTAATTAGGATGAAGTGTTATTCACATTATTCATAAGATGGAAGTTGTATATCGTATAAATGTATGAAACCTTTTCAATACTTTTTTCTCTTAATAATGGCGGTGTGGCCATAATTTTACCCTTCCTCACCAGTGGTATAATATCTTCAACTACAGAGATATCAGGCCATGGTTGACCACCACATGAGTAAACCTAGAATCAACTTATCATCGTGTAAACTTAATTCGTAATGATATAAATAATTGTTAACAATGAGTAATTATATACTGTTTTTAGTTGAATGCAATTCTTAGTGCTTATGGTTTATGTCTAAACAGTTTTTTTTACATTTTTGAGACTAGGAAGTATATTATTTCTCATTTCTCCTTTCGTTTGTAATAATCCATGCTAGCATAAAGAATGAATACAATCAAATATTTCTGATACAGTTGAAACAAGAAAGGTAGATGTAAGGTGATTTCAAGATACAAGTTTTAAGGTAATTATATAATGTACCTTTTTTGATTATTAACGTTTTATTGCAAATTAAAAAATTATCACCTCATAAATTAAGACTCCAAATGCATAAACGTCACTTTTCGTGGAAAATTTTGGCTTTTTTGACAATGTTTCAGGTGCCATCCATGGAATCGGCCAAGCAATATCTTCATGATTATTTGATCGTTTTCTAGAGCAAAATATAATATTTGCAATTCTTTGTAAAACTAGTATATTTTTGATTATTTTAATACAGCTAAAGCTTATTTTCCATCATCACTTTCATTACATAGCAGAAATTTTTAATTCTTTTAAATCATTAAGTTTACAGGTCTTCGTTGTAACATATAAAAGTAACTTGTATAATAAACTAAAAAGTTATTAAAATATTAATAGTTTACTTCAAATCCCGAAGACGCCTACTTAACCCAAAATCGGACAGTTTTAAAGAACCGCTAATTGTAATGAGGCAATTTCTAGCAGCTATATCCCTGAAATTATCAGCAATCTTTAAAATCTCTTTTTGATTGATAAGACTAATGCTTGCTCTAACTAAACAATTTACTCTGTAAATTAAAAAAAAAATTGATCAGCTGTTTTTAGCTAAAAATAAGCGGAAGTTAAAATTCAGCTACCAAAAAAATATTGAAATTTTGCTTAACTCTTGAGTAACTAATTTGATAATCAATAAATGATTATCCAACAAAGTAAATCCAATACAAATAACAATAATAATTCAGAACAGAAATAATTTCTTACCACCTGTGGACATATCCTTTGATTTGAAGATGTCGTAACGCTTTAGCAGCCTCAAGCAAAAATATATTCCTTTCTTCATTTTTGATTTTCTCTTTGTATTCGGTAAGCAAAGTTTTCAATGAACCACCAGGACAAAATTCCATTACCATCTGCAAATTAGTTAAGTCGTAGTATTTCTTGAGTAAAAAGTATAAAATTATTGAAAAAGAGCATCCTCAGAACTTAAATACTCACTATTACATATTATAATATTTTGCATTGTTTTGTAATGAATAAATTCAAATTCCATTTTTTGTAAAATACAAAGTTCAAAAATTTATAAAAAGCATTAAAGAATTTTCAATTTTACTTTTCTGCTTAATTAAATTATTATTCTTATGAACTAGAAAAAATATAAAATGTCTATTCACAACTGTTATCTATTACATTTTTTATCATTCACCTATTATTATATTTCAGACTTTTTACGGTTTTGCCATCTACCATTCTGCGTCCACTTAATTTAACAGTTGAATAAATAAAATATAATATGTGACATGAGAATCGTCCTACAATAATATAGGATAAAATATTTGATATACTCACTATTATCAAATTAACTGATTTTCTATGTACAGACAATGCAAGTTAAATTTAAAAAACATAAATAAGATTAAATATAATAAATAATAAATTGAACTAATGGAATAAATGAGCAGTATATGCAAAAGTAGCATAGTTGCCGCCGATTTTTCAAAAAAAGATTGTACCTTAACAGGTGGAAAATTGCATGCTATTCCGTATATTTTGATAATATTTTCATGAATTAAATCCTGCAACAAGCGCGCTTCAGAAATCATCTGCGATTTTGCGAGTTTTGCTTGGATAATATCTTTCGTAGATCTTTTATCGCTGGTACTTACTTCTTCGGTATTTAAACAGCGCTTCACTGCTACATCAACTTTTCCTCATAAAACATGAACAGTTAACAATGAAAGATATTAACTAATCGAATAAATAACCATAATTAACTCTAATATATTAACATGTCATTTCAAACAATGAAATAATCAGCGGAACAATATTACTGATATTATTTTTACTTTTCGAGGACTTATTTGCTAGGAACTGATACCAAAAAGGAATGCATCTAAAGCTAACAAGACTCATAACTTCAGAATTGTGAGATAAACTGCCGAACTAGATTAAATAAATGTATTTAAATGACTTATTGACTAAATAATTAGCATTTTGGGCACATAATTCAATTATTTTCTAGCATTTTCACCTCTGATAACTGGAATTAGGACTAACTGTCGGTTTCTAATATTCCTTTCAAAACTTCTGCATAATGACCCACTCCTAACTTTGTTTCTGTAATCGTTACCTTCTCGTCGTTTAATAAATAATCGGGTCGATTGATCGGATGAAGTAGATTCATCTATAAAGTGAAGTTATTGGAGAGTTTCTAATTAAATTGATAATGACTAGTCCCGATAAAAAATCATTTCAACAGTAAGTAATCTTATCAGTGTTTATCATCTATCTGTTAATCTATCTATCTATATATCTATCTACAGGTTAATTTTCATTTCGAGCTTTAAAATGATGTTGCTATGCAAAGTCTGTGTCAAGATCTCTATCTCGAAAATAATCTAGCAATATTCAAAGAGTTTAATTATGCAAAAATTGTTGTACTAATCTCTACTAAAGCACTTCATGAACTTTTTGTGATCAAAAACGACACCAAACTTCTAATTTGATGATCGGATTTCGTTTTCTAAATTTCATTGTGACGCATGTGCAACAAATCAAAAATAAAATATTTCCATAATAAGCATTTAAAGATCCTTAAAATTCGCATAATAATTACACTGTTTAAAAAATAAACTTGTACAGGTTTTTGGAAAAATAATCTGATTGCTTTAGCAGGCTATACTTTATCAATATTATATTCCAAATCCAAGTTACTAAAATAAACTTTGTGGCACAAACTGGATTCAGTAGATAACATTTCCGTAATTGAATCATACGTGGCCATTTTATCGTCCCTTCTTGTTCGATTTTTTTTATCAATTAACGTCCATCCTGAAACTGAATAAAATGAATGAGTAAAACATGCTTGATTCCTTGATACCGACTTTTTCAGCGATTTCCTTCTTACTCAGCTCATATTAAAACCTAATGATTAGATCTGTTTGTTCCAAATACATAACTAAGATCTATAGTTGATCTGATCTGATCAACAGGTTTTAAGATATAACAAGGAAGATAAGTTTAAAAAAACATGCCTTTGTGATTTTTGTTTTGAACAAGCTTCAGCTCACGCAAATTTTTTTGATCTACTTTTGTAATGACATACAGAATAGGTTCATCATTTGTACCCGTATTACGTACGCACCAATCTCCAGGTTTTAACAGATATGATGCAATATGATCCCTACAAATGTCAAATTTATATATTTGCAAATCTAATTCGATAGCAATATGCAGATAAAACATATATAATACAACAGATAACACAATTCCTCATACCATTACTATTTTGTGATGTACAAACACTGATAGACAGGTATATCAGGATATAATTTTTGAGATGAACATATTCTTATCAACTCTTGTTTAGCAGATACTACAAACACCCATTTTTCCTTGTTCATCTTACCGTGATAAAAAACCGAAGTACCATGGTTGCATTTCAATCCCTTGCACTGCGGTCATTAAGAAAAACCACTCAACACTACTAAATTAAAGTATGAAATGACAAATGAGCATTTCAGTGGTTTTATTTATATTCAATTATTTTGTGGATTTGAGGATTTTATCATTGAAAAATGCAACTACATCAAGCACTGCAGATTCTTCCTTCGAAATTTACCAGATATGTATGCAATCATTGTAAGAAGGATGGACTAGTATTTTGAAATATGTTAACTGAAACATTTAGCTGCTGATACCTTGACTGTTGTTATTTGATAAAAGCAAAAAGGAATCCTTTTTTAGTAGACATATTATAGACGTCACAAAATGCGTAATAAGGATAAACACATCCTGTTCAAGGTAAGTTGAAGTACAAACTTATTCCAATATTTTCTGGAATTAAGACAAAATGATAAAGAGTTTTGAATGCAGTATGTTACAGAAGTTATCCATGATGAATACTACATATAATCAAGCATTACGGAAGTAATAACATATGTGAGAAAATTGCTTTAAAATCACATATTCGATTTTTTCATTTCCAATGCCCACTGCATAGCCCAAATAGCCAGTGGACGCATATATCCAATCGCACGATAATATCTATCTGTAATTGCTTCCGGTGTTTGATACTGTAAACCAAACTTCTCCCAACAACTTTGATACCAGCCTTGAGCGGTCTCAAAACCTTGTCTCCGTTGGTTCTCAAAAGAATACCAGTAAAGTATATGATGATATGGTTTTAAAAACTTTTTTAAAGAGTTAAATTCAAGAACACACCATAAGTATGTAGAAAGAAGCAAGTGCATAAGTAGTTCCACCCCAAATTTCCTCGCTTTGAATACAAGATTGATCCACTTCTCCACATGGACTAAGTTAATACATGATTTAAAACTTTTCGTGAACTCGAAAATGTGAGTTTAGCTGATTTTATATCAAACTTCCATTGTAACATACGACTAATAATTGAAAAATCAGACTAAAATAAAATTTAAGGTAGAAAAAATTTATATAATGTCCAGTTTCTACATTTTCTGTTTGACAACTTTATATGTAAAACTCACTGCATTCCATTTACAGACCCAATACTACTAGCAGCGAATTTTTTAACATTCATGTTGAATATAGTTTTTAATGCCGCAGATATCTATAATATAATAAACTAAATTAGTTTTCAATATGATTATGTCGATGTAATCCACGA